GGGAGTCTGTCAATCCTTTTCTTCACCTGTCTTACCTCTTAAACGAGTTGATTAAAAGTGTGGGCATTCCTCCTTCTGGCACAAGATTCAAGCTTTCATTACGCAATGAGAAAAGTCTACACGCCTTGTAGATCTTGTTCATTCTTAGCATTAATTAGTCCCAAGTTCATTCCTTGCCGTCCTTTACACCATAAATAAATCCCCTCTTAGTTCTGTGTCGTCTTTTAAGTAAGAACCTGGGAGTAGTAAACATTTTTAACTTAGCCCTCACTAGAGTTGTGAAAAACTTAGTGAACGGAATTGTACTTGACTTGGTAAATGTTAGTCTTAACATCCTTTCAGCTGCAACTTCACATCAGAAAGCTGTAGTCTTAACGTTTAAGTGTGCCGTGACCATGAGCTGGGGATAAATTCAGTAGTTTCTCTAAATTTGCAGTTAGTGCCGTCTGTGTCCATGTTGACGCTTTTAGTTTGATTAATAGTTATTAGCCCCCAAATGCCCTGATACGGCCGAGAGTGGGGAAAGTCCGCTCTCCCTTTATAAATGCTATCACATGGCCACGCGTATATAGCCTCTGCCAGGGAAGTACTACTCACTGCCCTCTCGTGGCGGGGGTGTTGTTTACAAAAATGAGTGGACGAAAAGCGAGTGACCGGATTCCAAACTGATGGTGCACATGGGCTCCAGTATCCTGCGGGAACAAATGGCGTGTGAACCAATTGTTGATCACCGGCTTCCATCGGACTGCATCTCCTCATGATGCTCCACTGCCTTGTGGATCAGACCTTCAGGTCGAAGGCTCGGGGAGTGGCCCCTTAAGAAGACCACCTGCTTCGGTTTGGGGACCTGGGCAGTATCATAGCTTTCACGCATATCAAATGAGATATGTGTGGTGCCTATGTATTTGATGCCTCCTCGTATCAATAGATATTAACTATAGCTTGGACTAACCTACCAGAGTTTTGTGGTCTGCATGGAATGGATATACATGATCTGACCAATAACTTGATGTTATCGCCATAAAGTAACATTGGTGTAGCATGATATATGTAGGTTCTTTGACATAGAGAATTAATAACAGTAAGCTCTGATGTGCTTTTCTAAGTTCTGGTATCCAGTAAGAGATGTTGCAATTAGCTTAGACTTTTTGTGGGCGACCGGCCAAAATGTCTCTAAACTACCTAATCAAGTATTCGAAGATTCCTAAACTTTCCAGCTTCACTAAGAGTATTATGCGGAAGCCTATCGAAGGCTTTGTTAATGTCTATGCGAATTATATCCATTGACTTTTTGCTATCTAGTTAATCTGCTCAGATATGCTTGATCGGTAAAAGATTTATCATACGCTGTCGACCATTTCTGAAGCCATGTTGTTCACTTTTTAGTAAGCTGTGGGTGTTTATAAAGATTATAGTATTCTTTATAATAACTGAAATGTATTGACTGCAACACGAGTGAGACTTATTCTGTAGTTCGACCGATGTTATTTATACTCCGTCCCATGTTTCGGAGTGACTGTCGCATCTTTCTAGTCTTGGTAACACACTAGCTGAGTGATATTTCGAATATCGTGGTGAGGGGAGGCAGCCACCTATATCCTAAGTTGTGATGTGATGAAATGAATGAGAAATGGGCGAGACTATAATTTATGGACGAATCAATCACATGTAAGATAAAAAAACTCGAATTTTCGCGTGAAATTCACTCATCTGTTAGGATAAGTAGAGTTTTGGCATTGAAGCTGATGTCGGTTCATGATGAAAGCCCTAAATCTAAATTCTAACCTAAATCATAAACTGCAAATCATAATTCCAATCCCTCACACGGGTTTATAACCCTCATTTGGTCCTGATTATTAGGTGGACACTCTCAAGGTCAGTCTCGTCGCTCAAAGTTCGTCTGTAAATTATAGTCTCACTGGTAGCTCATCCATCCCTATTGATTTCTTCGTATCCAAATAGCTTAATGAATTCAACACACCATCTGCGACAAGAAGGAGGTTATGAGTAAAGACGTTTCCTGAGTAATTGCACATGGCTTCTGCTTTGTCCTAGTCATCTTCTGTCGTCTGAGAAATTTCCTTAATTATAACGGAAATTCATTGGTTCGTTTTTATCTTGGAATCAACATAGAAGAGTAGTGACATTGTATGCCTTATTACTTATTTATTATATTTATTTGAACACGTAAATATTGGTACAAGAAGGCACCAAATATATACGCGCCACACATGCCTTATTAAAATTCGTGAGAGTTGATTTTCACATTTCTTTCGTGAGTTACGGATTTGGTAATGTATTCATTTCAGTCAACTTATAAAGTTCCCTTGAATCAACTGTACGGAGACTGACAATGATGTCTCTTTGTTCTTTTCTTTGGTTGCACAAGCATTAAACTTTATGTCTAATCCAGAGTCGTTCTTGCTTTTGGGTCTTTTCAAGGTATAAATATTGGCTTTAGTTTCCGGAAACGACCCCATACCTCTCCAACCGATGCTCTGTAGTCCTTTGTCCAGTCTTAGGAAGAGGCAGTGGTCACTTCTGCAAATAGTTGAGAAGGAATTACGTCGAATAACATTGTGTTCGTGAGTGAAAATTAAGTCAATGGTAGTGTTGTAAGTCATTTCTGATAAGATCTCCAATATTCTTAACTAGAGTAAGATTGGTTGACAATGGTTCTTGATCAGACGAGTTTGCTGAACCTTTTGATCTGGAATGGAGCTTATCAATAACGAAATTATTTGCTGTGCATTCGAAGCTGCGACATAATACTAACAGTTTCATGTCCTACTCTACATTTTAGCCGATACATCACCGATTAAAATGTTTGTGAATCACATGTCACTGTCTCAAGAGTTCGTATAGTTAAAACATTTTTCTAGTAAAGGATAGAACGGTCATCTCTACGACTTGTTCTGTCAGTTCCACAGTTCGAGAATCGAGTCAGCGCCATTTAATTGTGGCTTATTTTTGATATTAATCATAATTTTTGGACCAAAATAACATCAGGACATTCAGCGACTACCATGTTTCTGATCTCCACCTTATTTAAAATACCATAAGGATTGACATAACGTATTTCTTTTGGGATAATTTATATAACAAGCCAATAGTTTCTTTATGGTCATCGAAAATGTATCGGGTAATTAAGGACATCAATGATTTAATTTTAATGATAAGCTCTCATAATATTATTTCAGATATTGATAACAACAGTGACTATCATATTCATGTTCTCATATGTGATACGAAACATCTGCTCTGCAGTTCGCTCTGTTCGGCTTTAACTGTGAAATGTCTAAAAATAGAGTATATCCATGGGTTACTGGTATTCAGTCTTACGTGTCCTCGAATAAATTTTTTGGAACATTAAGTTAGAAATTCTAAGGTTATATGCATAGTACTACGTTAGTATGGCAAAACGATTGACGATTTATTGGATCATTATCGACTGAGGTACCTGGGACATGTATTAAATATGACCATCCACCGACTACCTTGATGGGCAATGATGACTGGTGCAGAGAGTGAATGGCTCAGAGTCGTTCACTGTAGCTTAGGTGCGTTCACACTTTGTTTTCCCTTAAAACTCAAGTATTAAACTGTTTACAAATACTTTATATTTCACTAAATTTATATTTTCTCGAATAGTGTGTTCGATGTCTTATATTTTCTGTTGCCACATCTACCACTTTTGAATTTGCCCTGACAGTGTTAACTTGATGTACTAATAGGGTTATTTATTTATTCAAACACAAATATTGATACAAAAATGCACCAAATCTATATGCGCCACATAAATCATTCGATTTATGCGAGGGCTGGGGTACTCTCCGGGCACTCAAACCGAAGCAAGTGGTTTTCTTAGGGGGTCACACCCGGTGCCTTCCATCTCAAGGTCTGATCCACAAGGTTGTGGAGCAACGTCAGGAAATGCGATCTCATGGTAGCCAGTGATCAACGTTTGGTTCATACACCATTTGTTTCTTCAGGACCCTGGGGTCCATGTGCATCACATGTTTGAATTGAGCATTCTCCAACTGCCATAGGTGAATACTTTATATCCACGGACCCGAGTAAAGCGCCGGACATTCGCTTTTTGTCCTCCTAATTCTGCAAACAACACCCCCACCGCGAGAAAGCAATGAGTAGAACTTCCCTGACCGAGGTTGTATACACATGGTCATGTGAGGGCATCTCGACAGAAAGAGCTGACTCTCTTCACTTCCCAGCCGTACCAGTGTATATCGGGGGCCAAAATGAATGGTGGTTAGCAGTGGAATTCAGGACGCACATTTCATCCTATTTGAGACTTGTCAACAAGATGTACCTGCATCCTAGAATTGATATTCACTGTGGAACTCAAACTCAATACTGTTCGCTTCAAATACTATTATTTTATCCACTTACCTATTAAATATGACAACTTGAACGGATGTGCATATTCGCGAAGTTCTACATTGTATTTAATTGATCTATGAAATTCATTAAATGTTAACTAAATTGTCCGTTATCACCAAGTTCATATTATTCATATATCATCGAACGTTAAGTTTAATGAATCCTTTTTTGTAACATACAAGTGATTTAATTTTATCAGAAGGGTTTTGTGGAGATTTTAGAAATTTCACTGATTGAAATCATGAGTTGATTGGAGCTAGACCACCATGGGAAACCTAGAAGCACTGGACGACCGTTTCGTCCCAGTATGGGACTCCTCGGCAGTGCGCATCCACGATCCCGCACCAGGTCTGTCGTGAGATATCAACTCACTGAAGACAATAGTGTACGGTGGCGCAACTTCGTGGATTGGTTGAAGTTAGACATTAACACCGTTGGATGCTGGCCAGCTCAGTGGTCTAGTTGGTTAAGCGCCTGGCACGAGGCTGACAGGCCCTGGGTTCGAATCTCGCGGGGTTCGAGATCATAGATACGCATTGCTGAGGCGTCCCATACTGGGATGAAACGGCCGTTCAGTGCTTCCAGGTTTCCCATGGTGGTCTAGCTTCAATTGACTCATGATTCCAATCAGCGGGATTTAATTTTAATCATTTCGATTGCATATATATTACAATATATTATAAATCCCCTATGTTTATTTCGTTGTTGTTGTTTTTTGAAAATTACAACCTACTTACCTCATATTAACATACGATTATTGTTAATTGTCAAAGTACGGTGCAAAAATAGTACAATCTGTATATATAGTTGTGTATATTGATCTGTTCACATGATGACTTCTTTATTATTATAGAAGAGAAAAAAACAAACTATTTTAAAGTTATGCATAATATGAAATTATCTAATTCATTAACTTTGATTGAATAATTAAATGAGCCAATAAGTGTACATATGAATGTCAGCTTATATCTATATATATACATCTCTTGATTTTGTTTTGTTTTGTTATACCAACTCTTTAATTGTCATTATTCATATTCTAATGAAGAAAGTCACAAGATACATTTATCATATAAAAAGGATTATGAATAATATAAAGAAAAGAAATTAAAACTTTTTTTTATTTTCTTTAAATTGATCCTTTTTCTCTTTTCTTGTTTTCCTTTATTCTTTTTTTTGTTGTTGTCGTTCTTAGTGTTGTTACTAACTGACAAACTTCTTTTATTTATATTTATGTGCATATCATTATTTTGATAAGAGTATTAGTATTATTATCATCGTCATCATCATCATTGTTACCTATTAAATTTACACTTGTTATATATTGAAATATCCATTCAAAAACGTGTTCAATTCAGTGTTTTATGTGCATGTAGGTTGGTATATTTTGTGTATATTCTCTACTGTATGATATATATATATGCATATAGTTATATAACTTCCGTACAATATACTAATGATAATATGTTATGATATAATAATAGTACATAGAGATATTGTTTTATATTTATAATGGATTATATGCTTAATATTAAATTATTATCACAACTTTTTAGCGGTAATCGATTATGCAGCAAAACATTCAAACCACGTAAAAATATCTCTGAAACTAATAATAATAATCCTTCTACTAATACAAGTAATCATAATCCTACTATTGGTAATAATAATAATCATGATGTCAATGGTAAACAAAATGATTTATTACCAGAAACTGCTGCAACATTGGGTAGTGGAGATTTACGTTTAGCTGTCCGTCTACCTGAAGGTGAAGATCTACATGAATGGATTGCTATAAACAGTAAGTTTAGTATAGTTTATTCTATTTAATAATATTACTGATTTTTTAATTGCTTCATTGATAATATATACAAATAGGTTTATACTATTGTATTGGTTAATCTATATGATTGACTGGCTATCTAGAGAAATAGTATCCGTTTAGTTTATAAAATTATTTACTGTTAATCTGAACCATAATCGTAAATAAAAACCATTTGATTATAGTCCATCGGATAACCATAACTAATGATTGGAGAATTTGAGTGATAAAGCTTAGAATTGTTTTATCATGGGGAAGATATATTCACTCTTTTTCTTCCTCTTTGAATTCCAATCTTTTTTTTGAAGAAATACCTTTCCATTCAGTCTTTTCAAACCATATTTTTAATATTTAGTCTTTGTAGTTATGATTGCTACTACATTATTTCGATATTGTTTACTACCCATCTTGTCAATCTTCTCTCGTTGTGCTAATATGTCGTGAGGGCTTGGATCAACTCATATTCCTGTTAGGTTCTACATTGATGATGTTTATATAATATCTGGGTTTATGTTAATGCGTCGTCGGTAATAATAGATGAAGTAATGAATTGTGTTAGTTAATTCATTGAACTTGGACATTTTGTCGTCTTTTTTGGATTGTGGTTATTGACGAAATCCATGTATGATTTTGTTACTTTATCTTCACTATGACTTTATTCACTAAACAACTACAATTCACTACATAGAACTTAGTTTGTTAGACTGCTATGCACAGTACGTATGATAACTGACTCTTAATGACACTCCTGCAATTTCGAAGCGAAGGATTTAAAACTGTTGAATCAATTGTTAAATGTGAAGATTGTATTGAATTATTTTTAATATCGATCATAAAAAACGTATAACCTGGCATATCGGTTGAAGTTGCTACACCGCATCAGTACAGCGAGATGAATATCTTAGTATTAGAAGTAGTAGTTTACTGAACAAGAACACCAGTGGGGACAATGGAATGTATTTAACACAAAATTACAGGACTTGTTGATAAAATCTAAAAATCATAAAGTAAATGCTTAATTTGCAAAATGTCCACCAATTGTCTCAAAATGACTCGGACTTCATTGTTCTTGCATTTTCATACAAATTGCATTCTGTTCCCGTTCTTTACTGTTCTATCCTCTTGTCTCTCTGCTGCCAGACCTTCTGTTCACGACTAACATCATCTACTACTTATATCAATATAAGTAACACACACCACAGCAGTAGTAGCAGTATGGTGTATGCTCTTATGTCTACAAGTATAAGTATCATGTAACACCAGTCGGAAGTGAAATGTATGGGAGCAGAACATTAAGAGGATTGAAACAAAGAGAAAAGAGAAGGAAACTGAAAACAATCCAAATAAAAACAGGAATGAAAGAACAATAAAGTTTGTAAGAGACAGTTCAAAGATGTGCAATTAATGTATGATTATCAAATTTTACTAAACCACTATTTGATGATTGTGCATTAAACAATAAATTGATCTTCATCATCTAAGTGTTCGTTTGTTAAAATTGCAATAATATCTGTGACGATAAAAAATTAACGATACTAACTGTTATAACTTGTGGGTTAATGTATAACGTAATGATACCGCCAATTACAGCAGAGTGAATTATCGACCGTACCAATTATGCATAGAACCCTTACGAGCAGTCTAGATTCTTTACCGGCCCTGCTTCACGCCTAGCCCTGCCTGTTAAGTTCAGAACACCAATCTCAGCCTCTGCGAGATCAATCATGTATTTAAAACACTGGGTTTATATACATCAGCCAAACAGACCACACCTTACCATAAAATAGAAAATAACATTTGTACAAGATTTAGCCAAAAGTGGCTGTGATTGTGGAAGATAGTAATAGGTAGACTGGGAGTGAAGTAGTTGAGCGTGTCGATCGCTTCACTTATCTTTGAAGTCTCATCAGCCCTTGTGGTCTGGTGTGTGACGAAATCTCAGCACGGATACAGAAGGCTCGACTAGCCTTTACCAACCTGCGTCATTTATGGCGTAGGCGAGATATCCGTCTATCAACCAAAGGATGTGTTTACTGCTCAGCAGTTCGTTCCGTCCTACTTTATGGCAGTGAAACATGGCCGGTAAGAGTAGAGGATATTCGTAGGTTACTAGTTTTTGATCATAGGTGTCTTCGAAACATTGCTCGTATATCCTGGGACCATCGAGTAAGTAGCGCAGTTGTTAGGAAACGAGTAATAGATGAGGATGGCAAATTAATTGATGAAGTAGTGAAACTCATCAGTAGAGATGTCTGGGACACGTGTTACGTATGCCCAACCACCGACTGCCTCGACGTGCGATGTTTCATAGTATAGGAGTAGATTGTAAGAACGCTAGGGGCGGCCAGACCAAAACATGGCACAAATCCATGAAGTCACTGACAAGTGGACTGAGCCATGTTGGTAGGTGTAGACTACCTGGTTGGGGACCGCGAGATGATAGTAACCGATGGTTAGAGACCCTGAATGACATAGCTCAAAATCGTTTGCAATGGCGCAGGTGCATCCACTCTTCATGTTTTCCCAAATTCTAATGTTCTAAATTCTTCATGTCCTTTTTTTTCTTCTTTCCAAATTTATCTCACTGGATTATGCTCTTTAAATGACATCTTCAAACCCTAATGTTTCCGATTAATGCTTATACTCTGACCGCCTCTACCACTATAGGATTTGAATCGACAACTGCATCTCTGTTCTAATATGGTGTGGCAACTCGAAATGATGTACGTACGTACGAAGTTCTACGTTGTTAGTGAATGACAGAATTGGCATTAATCAGAAATGGTAAATCGTATAATAATAGTTCATAGATCAAAATAAAACTCATAATAAGAGGGATATGAATATGAATAGTTTAGCTACTTAACAATTATACAATAAAAATATACGTATAGTATTAGTCCATAAATAGATCCTAACAATTATCATTCATCATTCTCATCGGGATATAACACTAACCTAACAAGAATGAATGGGATGGGTTTCAAAACTAAATAAGATAGCAGTTTCTTTGAAAAAAAAACCAAGTTATCTTGACAACTGCTGTGAATGCGTTAAGATTAAAAATAAAATATCAAATTTCCTATAAATGTAATATCGAATTCTTTTTCTAAACATAGTTCTCAAGTAGTTTAAATATGGTTACATTCTAGCATAGATTATATAATAATGCATAAATATAACATTCTTTAATTTTAGAGTAAAAATAGGTTTAATCAATTAAAATCTACAAACTCTATAAAAAAAGAACTGGATCATTGAATCTTAAGTTTAAGTCTTCTTAAGAATTTATGTACTAAAACAAAGATTTCTTTTTGATTATATTAATAACTACTTGGTAGTAGTGAAATAGAGTCAGAGCAAGACATGCTGTAATGTTTATGAAATCACTGAATATTAGACTGAAGCATGTTAGACTAGCTAAAGATCATTTTGACCAATTAATGTGGAAGTTGAATGACATACTTCACAATCAGCGGTAACATTGTAGACCCATTCATTATATCTCTAGATTTTGAGTTTTAAAATTATCTTTTGCGGTTTATTGCTAGAATTCATTCTCTATCTTTGTATCGTATTTTTTATTTGCAATATTTCCTATTACCACTTGTACTGTTTTAATTACTTACTAGTTTACTTACGCCTGTTACTCCCAATGGAGTATAGGCCGCTGATAAGCATTCTCCAACCCATTCTGTCCTGGGCTTTCCTTTCTAGTTCTATCCAGCTGTTATCCATTCTTCTCATGTCTGTCTTCATTTCTCGGTCTAATGTGTTCTCTGGTCTTCCTCTTTTCTTTTGACCTTGAGAATTCCATGCTTACCTTGTGACGTAGTTGGGTGCTTTCCTCAATGACTTGTACTGTTACTATTCATATAATATATATATCTAATTCATCACCAAATTGAATGAAAATGTAAAACTGACATTGAATGGGTTATTATTAACCACTTCCAACCAAGAAGTCGTAATCACTATCTGTTTAACTTAAATATTCGAAGTTCACTTACCCTTCTACGTAGGTTAGTCATTCAATATACATTACTAAAATGATTTGATTGATTTTAAATATCAAGTTGTCTTCAAAAAATCTCAAATCATGGTCCGATTTGTTTGATTTTTGTGTTTTAGTACTTCTTTTATTTATTTAAACACATAAACATTGGTGAAAGAAGGCACCAAATAGATATGCGCCACATAAATCAATCGATTTATGTGAGGGCTGGGATACTGCAGTCCCATTTTAGCCGGTTTTCAATAATTGGTTCATACGCCATTTGTTCCTTCAGGATATTGGAGCTCATATGCACCATTTGTTTGGAATCAGGGTTTTCCAACTCCCCTACGTGGACTCTCTTTGTCTACTATGCCGGCTAAGCGTGGTTCATTCGCTTTTCTTCCTCTCAATTTCGTAGGTAACAGTAATACCATGAGAAGCTAGTGAGTAGTACTCCCCTGGTAGTGGCTATATACGCGTGGCCATTTGTGAGCATTTCTCGAGGGAGTGCTGACTTTCCCTACTGTAGGTCGTACCAAGGCATTTGGGAGCGTGTATTAGTAACTAAATACTAGTAGGTTATACTTAACTTCTCGCCAAAACACATACCATTCTAATAATCGCTATCTTAAATTTGAATAATTCGTCAGTGTAGTGTAATTTTACCGTTTTCAAAAACCCATTCATGATTTACTGAAGAGTAAAATAACACTTGTATTTGTAAGGGTTTGAATCTGCTCGTTGTTGCCCGACCGAAGCTGCTACCTTGATGCGGTGGTCGGGCTTGCCTATCGTGATGACCCAACCGAGCTATATTGGCTGGAACATATGTTCCTGTAGGTTCTACCATGCCAGGCAGGTCGATTGGAGAACGGTAAGACTAAAAGCAGCAACTCAAGGTCTGAGGGCGAAGTCGTACTGCTGACTGTAGAGGGGTGTGACAGCAGTAAGGTGTTTCTTTCGGACAACCAGCATCTGCAGC